CATTGAATACATATCCTTAGTTCTATGTACAAAATACATATTTACTAGAAAGCCAGTAATCAGGCCTAATAAAAAAAAAACACTCATTACCAATTTACAATGATGACATTTTCAAGTCTTAATTTAAGGTTCGAATTTACCATAGTTCAGACATTGCAAATTTTGTGTTGAATATCATAGCTGCGCACAGCTCTAAACTTCATGAATATGAAAGGAAAAAGCAATTCTCAAAAATAAAACACAACCTTTAAAGTATGTGATAAGATAGAAAAGAAAAATGGGTGTATAAAACACAATAAATCAGAGTAGCATGTTCTGTGGTCTTCCAAACAGATGTAAATATTTTAAGATGTCACACTATTTGTTTTTATCTTGTCGAGTCAAATCAGTCCATGGTTGACATTTCTAATCACCTGGAAAGTATTTTTCATTTCAGCTATGCGTCTAAGTGTACAATGTGTACTATTACTAATAACAGATTGTCTATTTATTTTTATTATTGTATTCACAGATAGCACAACGTAGACTTATCTTACCACGAAACAGAAAATATTAAAAAGATTTCTCAGTAATGATTTCATACCAGCACTACATCCTCGGTAGGATTATGTAGCCAAACAAAAGGAACTGATCATAAAGCACTAATACAGACGAATACACTTATCCTCACACGTAAAATCCAGACTAAAAATACTAACAAGTTAATGCACGATTTTATTTCTATGCATTGTTGACTGCGGGGGCTCTGTTAATGATGAAATTTCCATTGATGTTCAATTTTTTTCAAGCTCGGCCGTTTTCTTTAGGTTTCTTTCTTAACTCTTCAGTAAAACATGTAAGCAATATATAAAAATCTCCCGGTGGCACTGCCGCATTAAAAGTTGTTAAGTTAGGGAAATCATAAGAGGAGGTAGACCGACATGCAATCAGCCTTTATTTCTACTAGTTACATGCTTTGCAATACCTTTTCTTTTTTTCTGTAAGCTTTTGAGAAGCTAAAACAGTTGTATATCAACACTTAACACTTACTCCCTCGCTCCAGTAATTACTACACCGCAGTAGGTGATTTCATATGTATCAAACCAAGGATGTACCACAAACAGGTTTCATTGTATTATTATTGTAACTTATCTCCGTTTGTTTTTAACTACAGCACACCTGAAACTACTATTCCCGGAAGAACTGCGGTGGTTCGCGTGTTTAGCAAACTCCGATTGTAATCTGTGAATTAAAACGACTTGAATCGACACAGAGTGATTCGCAAATGAAGGCGAGACAACCTAAGAGTGAATAACCGAACTGTTAACTTTGTTTTCTTAAAACCACAAAAATGGGCGTTCTTAAATGAGCAAGGAACACTCATAAAATAAACTTAATTCGAATTTCCAAAATCACGAGTCACCTTAATCGAGGTTGCATGGGTTGACCTGTGTGTTGATTTATGTCCTGAAGACAATTGAAGACAAGAGGACAGATGATGTCTAAACAATCGGGAAAAATAAAAAAAAATACGAGCTCTCCACATGTTTGAATAAAACGAGATAGATTTCAGTTTCTTGAGCTCAACGACATTATTTTCAAGTTGAAAGAACCGAAATCATAGTGTTTAAAATACACAAAGTAAATGCAATTTAAATAAATAATGTCCAGTTCACCGTTTGTAAGATAACTTGCCAGTTTTCGAGTTAAATATATCAAAATAAGCGGATTGCTCTGTGTCTAGTGTTTTAGATTAACACTGTTTTTGACATAATCTTTTGTTGGTAGGACTGGAAAGTTTTTTTAGAACAAATGAGCTTCGTTAAAAACTATGTTCAAAATAAATACTTCCAATTACAGTTTTCCAGATCCCCTAAAGATGGCAGTCAAACATGGGATTTATCTGTAGCTGCGTAGCTGGGTCTCCTGAGCTGCATGGCTGTGGAATTTCAAACCGAAAATGTCCTAGCTCGCCGTGGAAAAGGAGCAGTGTAATTAAAACGTCGGCGCTTTTTAAGCCCCAGTTTCTTCAGTGCAAATAGCATTTTGGCTAAGGTTAGGCTGTAAAAACAAAAATAAATCTTTTTTTTTTACAAACGCAGGTCCGGGAGAACGAAAGGGGAAGGCATATTGATTTATACATGGTTTTGTTTACCGTACAAGAAACGGTTTCCCTGTAAACTGGATTTTTCTTTAGTTTTCGATAGCTGATGAGATGCAGTGTCTTACTTCTGTCGAGTTAAAAATACAACTTTTTCCTAGTTGCCAGCGGAACTTCTCGTCATTCTGATTTTCGGAGTATCTAGGAAACACCAGGCGGCTCGAGAATACAGAATTTAAAACGTTCTTAACTGGGCCATTGACTGGGTGCAATAAGGCGTGAGGAGGAACTAATCTTCCCATTTACATGTTTGTGGCAATTTTATCTAAATGAATTTTAATGCTAAACGAGGGATAATTCCCTATTTGTATCCGGACTGTCCCCCCCTACCAGCCCCTCCTTCCAGTTCCTCCAAGACAATTCCAACATCATATTGGCCGACTCATTTGTTGCGCCTTGCTCCATGTCCAGGGGTTTAAGAAAAGTGCAGTTTAAGGATGCCTCAGAACAGACTGATGCGTCACACATTTCAGTTTTGTCATACATAGTGCTCACCTAGGAAAAATGTGACGGGGGAAATAAACAAAGATGTGAAAAAAGCCTGATTATTAAATATGATTTAGACAGAATACAAACCATTTTCCTTGTATTTCTTTAAAAAAATAATTGAATAATTTCTTATTAAAAAGATTTCTTATAAAAATATTCATCCACTGCTACTACTACTTATAGTAAGAATATGGTCTTTAATACTTTTTTATTTGCGTCTGTGATGCTTCACCTATCTGTTACCACTTGTGAGGCCAACAGCCCATGGCTATATATAGTCAGGCTGTACAAACCCCAGATCCCCAACTACAGCCCATCTCCTCCTCCTCCTGCAGGGAGATCGGGAGGCCCAGCAGGGATAACTAACAATCTAGTCACTCAGTGCCCTACCTTTTTTCATTTTCTTTTTTTCCCAACTCCCAGCTGCAATTACGAAGATTAAAGCTGAAATGTCAGACAATCCGTAGTTTTCTACCAAAGCATTAGCACATATGAAATTTCTTAAATCAATTCTGAGGAGTAAACTTCACAGACAGTGCCACTTGCTAAAAGTTAGAAGCAAAGCATCAGGAGAAGAAAATAAAAATAGCAACACGTTCCCAGGTTTAACGCTGCTTTTGTTCGTACAAGGCCACAGATGTTTAATAAAATGTTTAGTGCTGGCATTATCTTGTTCTAATGACCATTCAGCATTCCTTTTCTTAAATAACACTTTAGTTTTGTACTTTATCTGTGGTACCGACGGTCATTAAGAAACACTCAGAGACAAAAACAAGTGATTTATCTACTGTAATCCTAATCTGGAGCTAATTTCCCAAGAAATGAGCAAAGTATACGATTTGCACTAATATATAAATCCACATTCTAGTATGTTCATGATTGAGCTCAGTAACTGTCTGAAATAGTTAACCGTTACACTTAAAGTGTTGAAGTTCTACTTAAAAATGTGTATATTTTGCTTCTCATTTACCCATCTATATCAATATGCTTACAAATGTTTTACAAAGGATGCATAGTATAAGCAGAAGAACAATATAAACAAAGTGATGCCAAGAACAACTTTTTTAGCTGACAATTCCTTTAGGTGGCATGATAATTTCATTTATGTAAATGCCAAATCACATTTATGATGCTCGTATTTTGTTTTTATAGCTTTTGGTCAAAAATATCTCTGCCTGCAATTTCTTTCTAAACTTCAGGATAAAATATGAAGGCTTTTCTCAACAAGTGTAATAGGAATGGCGAATAAGTTACATATACTGCAAGATATATATGTATATATTATAATCAGGATTTTATTATTATACACAATAAAAACTGCTACATCTGGGGTCTATTATTATACAATCCAAACTGTTTTGATCAGAAACTAAAACTGTGCTGTCGTTATTAATTTATATTAAGTTCATCGGTTTTTGTGATAAAAAAGCGCTGCACAAGTAGTTTTTTTTTTGTTCGTTCAGTCTTTTGTAACCATAACAAAGCAGTAAGTTGTTCCCATATAGTGTTTTTTTATAGGCATGCCAACCCAAACCAAACTAAAAGTTTCCCCCCAAAAAATCTACAACAGTTCATTATTTCCAGTCCTTTTTTTTTTTTGCACAAAAAAATTTATTTACAACGTATACATAAACTCTCCAAGATGGGAACATGGAAAGCAAAAACACGCACATGACTGATGTCTGTCTCAGAAAAAAAAAAATGTAGTTGGTTAATTTTGTTGCATTTTAGGATTACATCACATCCCATTTGGTGATTTGCAGTATGGGGAGATGAAAGCACTGATGTAATAATTAGACTTATAAACACCTTTTGGTTTCTATGTTTACTCCTACCAGTCTCCTTAATACTTTGCCTGCAACAGCTGATTAATCATAGTGGATGTCTACGGCTTCTCCTATCTTTCCCCATTTACATCTGTTCAGGCCAATTCAAATATGGTGAGTAAATGAATTAGACATGCAAATGCAAGCCTCAGGCTAGAGAGACAGAGAACATGGATGAAATCTTGGGATGGGCGAGAGTCTTCCGCCTGACATAGTTATTTTAATGCTCTAAAAATCCTGCAAATAAGCCCTTTCTGTCATTTGCAGAGTAAATGTAAGGCCTGTTTTTCTTTGTCTTCAAACGTTCAGGAGATTTGGGGAGGAGGTCAAAGTCTATGGAAATGACACACACATAGTGTGGAAAAAAAAGTTCACATCCTTTAAAAAAATCTATAAGAAACAACATAATATGCAGAACAGTACGATAGCATTTACAATAATTAATTCTCAGTTCTCGTGAGAGTCCAACGTAATTTTACAACAATATTCACCATGTCCTCCTCCTCCTCCCAGGAGTTGATATATTTATAATTTCATTCTTCTTCTTTTTTTTTCCAGGGCACTTCCTGTGTAAAGGGTCCCAGGGAGTAAAAAAAAACAAACATTGGCTTCTCCTTGGTCCAAATCTGATGCCAAGAATGGAGCTCCTTAGTCACTGCAAGAATGAAGTCAATATACGAAAGATGCCACTGTAGCAGAAACTGTTTTGTTTTAATAATAATAAAAAAGTCCCTTAAAACTACTGGGCATGGATGTCCATGACTTGTCCACCCATTGTAGGGTCTCCTGGGTTAAGCATTGGGGGGCTAGATGCAGACATTGGCATTCCAGGGTGTGGTGGTCCTCCATGCATCATCATTGCTGGGTGATGGGGATGTCCAGGAATGTAGGAATGCATGGGAGGTCGATGTCGTAGCTGAGCAGAATGTGGGGGCATCTGAGGGGGAGTGTAGCCTGACTGTCCCATACTCATGCCCATTGGACCACCATGAGACACGAAATCGCCTGGCATGCCTTGTAGCCCTGGAGGAAAACAGACGCATAACGCTGGTGAAAAGATGGCTCGATAAACTTACTACCACAACAGCACAAGCACTAGCTGAGATTTTGAGTCACATATGCAGTATCGACTATTTTGCAGTCATGAAGTAACAAAAATGTTTATTTCCCTCAGCCTTTAGCCTTCTTATTTAATAATATGAGTTATTATAGTGCAATCACAAGATAAAATTTTGAAACTGAGTAGCGAACGATTGATATATCGTAGAAAGACTATAATTAAAATGTCTATAAATGCCAAAATATTTAATGTAATCATACTTTAATACATCTTCAAGTTTTGTCTCCTCTCTGAAAATAATTCTGTATCGTCTAATGGGTACACAGGGACAGTTCAAGCTCTTTTACACCCAACAGCAAGTTGCCCAACATTGTGTGAAAGGTTAAAATAAAGGTCTTGTGAAGAATAAGTCCTCAAAAGTTCACTGTAATGCTTCTTTTTAAAAGACTACTTTCATAACAATGAGCAGTGTTTCTTAAAATATTGAGAATTTACTCAAGCACAAAGTTATTGATAAACCCGGCCCTATGGGGGATGTACAATTGATACAGACAAGACATTGTGACCATTCAATCACCAGAGACCTTGCCCATCAAAACACATTTTAATAATCAATAGCAAAGGAACATGAACAGTCCAGAAACCTGGACTAGAAAGTTTATTAAATCTGGTTGTTATTTTTGTTCCCTGCAAATATTAAATGTCCCAAGGAAAACTAGCTTTCTGAAAGCATTGATATTAGTCTACATGCAGCATGGAAGCAGACAAGAGATGTTGTCTTGGCCTGTTTTATATACTTTGCACTCCAGGAAAGTACATAAGAGAAAGATGGTATTCTAATTTGTTTTAACAGCATGCATTACCCTCAAGAAACAAACAGGACTCAACACCACAGAAAGTCAGAAATCAAGTGCTGTATACATGAGGAGTAGGACTAATGTAAAACATGAATCTTACGACGGATTGTGAATGGTTTTTTTTTTTTCAATTATGAAAAAGGTGCCTGGTTCTCTCACAAGACCCTGCCAAGAAACAAACTTGAATTGATGCTGGACATGAAAAGGCCATGCTCAAATATACTTCTACAACTGTATTCTGAAAATAAGAGATTTAAAATACAAATATATTGGCAACAGCTTGGGCCATTCCGAACACAATCTGTAGCAACACGAAAATCAGTTCACAAATAAAAATCAGATACAAAGTTATATATCATTAACTGCTTTTTGTGAATACCGGCCTCTATTCTCCACACAGACACATTATATATTAGAACATAACACTATCGTGTTCCATGTTTTTGAAGTTATACTGTATATTTAAATTGAGCAAAATTATTAAATCCGTGCTACCATATCTTTCAAGCCTTTTACATTTTACTGCATAACATGTTTAAGTAATACATGTGATGAAAACAAATATTACAAACTTCATCAAGAAATTGAAAGGAACAGTAAAAGGAGCTTGTAAGGTTTCTACAGTTAGACTGATAAACAGCTGGGAAACACAAGCATTGATCGTACATTTTTGGGGGGGATCTTAAACAAACCCAAGTGGCTTTTTGCTAAAATCAATAGCTGGGTTTCTGACCCATTCTGTTTCAGGACTGCCAAGGGAGTCAATCAACAGTGTACGCTTATACTGAGCACACAAGACCAACAACTGCAGAACTCATTTCTGTTACTTAAAAAATAAAAGCGTAAGTTAAAAAAAACATGACCCTGAAAAGGGGTTAACAAACTTATGCTTAATAATGGGAGAGTTGATTTCTTAAACAAAGCTCTCCAGTCGCGCCAAGAAGGGCATGCTTACCAAAGCATACCTAAAACATTTGGGAAATTGGATGGAAACAAAAATCTATACGTTCATAATTAATTCTTTCACTGTAATCACTATTGTCTGGAAAATAAAATCTCAATTTTGTCCACCCTTGGGTAATTTTTTGGTAACGAAAAATGAAAGGAAGAAAAAAAAAGAGTCATAAAACAATAATTCTCTCTGCTATCAAAGGGCCTCAGTCTTCTGCATGGATTGCTATGGTTCATCTGAACTGACAGGTGTATTGTTTCTGAGAGCTATAAGCTCCATAATCGTCAAGGGTAGAAAGCATAACGCTCCTACTAAGTAGGTTTAATTGGCTTTGGTTTTAAGTAATGTTGCAGTGTGACTGCTAGGAACACCTTCCTTTCAGGTCTCGGGGCTCCTTTGCAAATAGCTGCTTAATCTTGCCTAAAGGAACATTTCTGAACTAATGAAAATTGCTTATAAAATATAATGTACTCTCAGCCCCTTAATCAAATAGGATGATAACATTTTTTGTAATAACCTATTAATTTAATTGGTCATGAAGCATATAACACATCACTTACATTTAATTGACCTAGAAACTAAAGGAACAATATTTAAATTAGCCAAGCTAGAAAATTTCAATGATGTAGCACAAGGAGCAGCGGCATTCTGGAGTGTGCTAAAAGTGTTCTCCTGTTTATCTTTTAACTGTTTTCATCTATGATTGCAGTTCAATTATGCGATTCAGCAAGCAATTCGATATTGTTTAAAGCAGGGCTTTCACGACATTACAGGAAACAACAATCCTGCTGAAATGCCGGCTCTTTCGGAAGACGAAATGACTCGCACACTATATATATATTTTTTTTTTCCCCGTGAAACACTTGACAATATTTTGACTCCACTGCCTGCTTTGAAATCTTAATGTGAATTTAAATAAAGAGAAAAAAAACAGATGCATGAAAAAATGCTTATTTTTCGCTTTCGAGGTGACAGCAGAAAAACTGGGATATTCTCGCAGAGCTTGCTTCACGAGGCATTCCATAGAAGGCTGCATTAATGATCTCTATTTTTGTATACTGAATAAGTCAAGTCCATTAGTCACACTGCTAGTGATGGCATATTTAATTTGGATATAGTCAATTAGCCTAGGCTAAGCTCCCTACCCTGCTGCGGACACCTCTATTTTGCACTACTTTTTCCCCTTCGCCGTAAGTAATCCTATTATGATGGGAAGGACAAAGGGGAATAAAGTAGAGATCGATAGGCCCATTCCATACATTTGAAATCATGCTAGATAAATTTAAATGTATTCTAGTGTTTATTTTGCCTATAAACAGTCTCTGTTCGCCTTTTTGGTGGTGTCTCACAGGTTAGTGTATTAATGTAACTCATGCATCAACTGCGGTAAGACAGATTTATGACACTTTGGGGACATGCTCTTTCCTCTCCTTGCACTGCTGCAGACTGCTTACATTTTGCCAATCAGTCTGTTGCTATGGTTACCCCCCCCCCCTCCCTTTGCTTGCCACCCCCCTCCGATATGACTGCGTCTTGTTTTGTCATGTGGTCAGTAATGTGCAATAGTGAGACACAGAGCAACTGCACATGGCAAACCTCTCTGTCTTCAAAGCATGAGAGGACGTTATCACCTGGAAAAGAAGATGGAGGGAGGGGTTGGGGGAGCAGGAAAAAATGGAAAAACGATGAAGAGTGAACAAGCATGAAGCAATGGGCAGGAAAGAACATCAAACATAAAAAACAACCCTTCCAAAAAAGAAACACCAGGAAAAAGAAAATTTGCATCCCCTAATGATAACACATTTTTAACCCTGTTTGTACTTACTTCCCCCTTGCTTTGCGATTGGTTAACTAGAAGAAGGTTACATGTAGTGCCATTGCCCCTCCATGCCCATATTCATGCCCATTCCACTCATAGGTCCTAGAAGGGAGATAAAAATTCAAGAATATGCCAGAAGATGAGCCAACCAGAGAGAAGTCAAACAGAGAGATGCCAAAAGAGCCAAAAAGATCCATTTTAAGGGAAGGGAAGGGAGAACAGGGGACAAAACAAAGGAAACAACTGTTTTTGTGCAGGAGGTGGAGCATCCGTCCCCAAGACCCCTCCCTTGACACCACGAGGCCAGGCTGGAGCTCGAGAGTGACCAAGTGCGCAGAGGCAAAGAGCAGGGCAAGGCAAGACAGCTCAGGTGCACCTCAGGTGCTGTGAAGGCTGTGATGTGATGGACTACCTGTATGAGAGAACGTGTAGCCCTGCAGTGCCACTCTGTGGAGGGGGGTTGAGTGGGGAGGGTGGAGAATGGGTTGCAAGCCAAGGCCTTACCAGGTGGTCTAATTCCCATGTGCTGTTGGCCGTCCATGACAAACCCTCCCATTGGCTGCCCGTCTGGATTGTATGGAGCTCCTTGACTTACTGGAAGGGTCACAGGACAGCAGTTATTCAACTGTTTAATCCGTGCTCACCATCAGTTAATGGACAAGGCAAGACCCTAGTCTGGATGTGTTTATGAGAATTTGCACTCTTGTGTTACCATAATCATGGTCAGCTAAAATAAATGACACCCAAGTGCATAACGATACCTTCAAATACTTCAGAGCTCATCAACATCTAGACAAAGACTTTGAGGGTCTATGACATCGGCTGATAGACAGAAAGACAGTTTCTGCTCACATGTTGTTAACCGTTGCACTGTAACATATGAAAATGTAAGCAACAAACCCAGAAGATAATAAGGGTTAAAAACTGAAAAAAGAATGAATTTGCTTACCATCACCAACAGACCCCGAATCCAAGATTTTTCCTTCCCATAAAATAAGCTAAATCCAGAAATAAGCTGCTTGGGGTTACTCAAGCAAAATTAAAAAACGTTCTACCCTCCTCAATGCCTTTGAACTTTACCAAGTCCCTACAACAACGCTGACCCTTCAGCCCCTATGACAGGTAATAAAGTTTCCAGCAGTCCACACCAAGCCATGCACCAGGGAGTGGTCATTGCAGCAGAAAGTAAAAAGCTGGGAAGCAAAATGTATATAACTCACATTAATAGTTTTCTTTGTTTGTCTCAGTTCTGTTTTAGAAAAGGAAGCAGCTAACCACATCAGAGTTTTAACTAATAAGACTGTTTCATTTAATGATATTCCTTTAATTTTACTTTGCAACACGACTTTCAAAGAAAAGTCAAGTCAAAATGATTAGTGTTGTTATTTTAGTCGTCATTCAATCCCAGCATCCATTGGTAGTTTATTTACCAGGTAGGAGACCTCCCGGTGAATGGCTTGAGGATGATTTTCGCCTGCGAGACTTGAATACAGTTACTATTGGGGACTTGCCTGCTCGATTGGACTGATCTATCATGGGTTGCACTATTCTCCTTCTTGCATTAATGAACCTGAAAGAAAGCAACAAAAAAAAACTGTCAATTAGTGCCACAGTATTACAGGGCTCTGCATTGGATTACACACTCGCAAACAAAAAGGTGTTTTGTTTTTTTTGCCACAATACCGAACAAATACACATTTCAGTCTTCGGTGTGCCTCCCACTGTAGCATGAAGCAGCTGTCAGCACATTTCTTTATACTGTCCAGACTTCTCAACTAGACACACAAAAAGCAAGCTGGCCTGAGCATTCTTAGTACACTTTTCAGGGAAAAGGTTGATAAGGTGTTACAATTGGTATTACAATGCAACAAACATCGGAAACATGGTAATAAAGTTCATACTAGACTCTTTTCTTCTTACTCTACTTACTGATGTCAAAATGTATGGGCTTGTATGATAAAGCCTTGTGTTCTTGTCTCTCTGCATCGGTCAAATGTTTTTGTATAGATACAAAATGCAAGAAGCACATGAATATTCTTTCACTCATTAAGGATGAAACTGTGTGACTGAATTTGATTTATAAAAGAGCTTGTGCATGGGTGCATGAGTGTATATATATATTTATATACTCACACACACACGCACATAATTAAACCAACATATTCAGCATAGTTTCTAACTCCCAACCCCCCATTCTAACCCACAAGGCCTTTCTGGTCTTACTCAGCCTAAAACCTTCTGAAACAACCCCGTGACCTCTCACGACCTTTGGTAGTGCAAGCTCAGGGGTTCCGACTTGATTTATGTCCTCCTGCTTCTACCGCAGTTGGATATTTCCATTTCATCTTTTGAAGGGGGAATTAGTAGACTTTTCAGGAAACAATGGCCACACTACTCTTTTCAGTCTGAAAAAGCAGGGGGGGGGGTACTGATGGGGGTTTGTGGGGGGGAGGATGGAGGAAAAATGGCACAGACAAAGAGATGTTCATATGGGCATCTGCTGCCTTGCCTAATTAGTGAAGTATCTTATCCTTTGTCTTCTGTCTGCTACATGGTTCTTTCGGTATCTTATAATCTTTCTTTCCGTCTTCCGAGAAAACTGCAAATTTCAATGCCTACTGTTACCCAAAAAAAAGGAAGAAAAAAATGTCTTGATGGCAGTATACCATCAAATGAGGGAATGTCTGGAGTTTTATCACCACTAGCTCACCCTGCGGAGGGAGTCTCGGGCAAAGCATTCCTTTTATTGCTTTCTCGTTTCTTGACTCTATGTTAAAGTCTGGGGTCAGCTGGAGGTCAGTGTTGTCTAGCTTGTGACCCCTCCAGTTTTTTTTAATCGGAGAACCAGTCAGGCCTACAAAATGGTATCACAAGTCCACTCTTGAAGTCTTTACCATATCTGAGGCCAGATGCGCAAATGCCTTAACAATAGACAAGTTATACACAATGAGGAAGAACCCTTAGGAGTCGACGCTGAAAGTGGTCATGGTCTGCTCTGTGTTCCAGGCGCACACACGAGGACTGGCAGTTAAGAAGACAGTCAAAAGGAGCAGAAACCCATGCAGTGAACTAAAGCTGCATCCTCCATTAGGGGTAAAAGTTCACCTTTTCATGACCTTTCTCGCTATAGGATTGCGTTTATGGTCTGTTCAGTTTCTACTTCCCATCGGCACACAATGAACATAACTATTCTGCTCTCTTTTGACAATAGGGGGCTATTTTTAAGCAAATGCCACTGGAAAATACCACTTGTAAGGTCCTGCTCAAAAAGAAAATAATGCCCCAAAAATAATTAAATTAGGACCACTTGAAAGTCAAAGAAAGCACAAAAGAACCAACAATTTCCTCCCTTCACTATTTCCATCAGCACGCTTTTAAGTGCATTATATCCAGTGCACCAGTCTTTCCCTATGTCTAAAACCACTTCCTTTTAAAGTGTGGAAATGACTGTAATCACGTCTGCCAAGGGTCTCTTAATGTTCCATCCTCATTATATGCACAGGTGTACCACAAACACCATGTGAAATAGGCAATTAAAATGAAAAAATCTGCTTTTTCATTAGCTGCCTTTGTTGCGTGACCAATTAGGGAATAATTTAATAAATATCACTGGAAAGATCTAGATTGAAGATACAAAAGGTTACTTTCAGTGTGTCTATCTAAATGCATATGAAGCTCCTCTTCTCCCCAGCACAGTTCATCAGTACAAGATCACAAGCTTTCCAAACACACACGTGAAAACTGTACACACATATTAATACAGGCCACACACTGCCAGCGCCATACTGAGCTGTTCTGCTTTCCTATAATGGAGCCTGTACAAGAAGGGACTGCTGATTTTCAGGGCACTTTTTTAACACCTAACCTGTGTTTTTTGCCACAAAACACTGATCATAAACAAAGCGTCTCAAACTGCATTTTCAATATCATTTCTTCATGCTAATTGTCTTCTTTGAAATACCCCATGCCCAACAGAACTGTAATTTAGGATCTATGTAGGTAATTACATGTAAAACCATGACACCTACACTGTTGATAATGCATCCATGTTATGCTTTCAACAAATGCCCAAGCTTGTAACACCCCTTTCCAAAAGGTACTTTATTATTATCTGTGCTTCAACCTGGGCTATTTATACTTAAGTAATTAGGTATTCTGCAATTCAATCACATGTTGACATGCCTATAGGGAAAAATCATAAACAAGTGCATCTTTTTGTCTCAGCACAAAGTCATAAAATTTCATTTTTGCTCCTCCTCCAGTAGAGTCAATCTGAGGTCAGCCCCTCAACCCTGTATCTGTTTAAATAAACTGATCCAGCTGTTTGCTGCGAAAATTCCATTTACACCCCCCTCCCTCCTCCCCCCTCACCCTTTCTAATCAGCACGCAGGGCTCTGTTCTGAAACCAGTTGGAGTGGCCTGCAAGACTCTGCAATTACAGCAAATAAAACTGTGAACCTCCAGCATACTCTGCAGAAAGCCTAAGCCTACCATGTAATTACCACAGAATATAAGTATAAAGACACATACACGTATGTGCATATGCACACGTATGTTTGGCTCTATGCACACCTATATTTGTGCAATCCAGCCAATCAATAAAAAATCACCTAACAATCTCGATGGTCTCCTTTTATTTTTATTTATTTTAGTCAGAACACATGCGTCGGTTCCCGCCTTGCTGGAAATTCAAAATTGTCATTTTTGTTAATGATTTAAAAAAGAGGGAAAAGAGGAGTTCCGAAGGTGTCAGCAGCTTCTTTACAGGGATCCACTGTAAAAATAAACTTTTTAAAAAATGGTTGGTATTCATACAAGTTAACGACTTCTCACTGTAGTATTCAAAGGTGCTCCCTACCCCAAATGTGCTGGTGGTCTTAGAGTCAAAATAAAAGAAAGTGCCATCGGCACATTTACAGGGTCAGTACTTAAGGCTACGCAACACATACACATTACTTATGCTTCTGTGACAAATAGTGCTTTCTAAAACGTAACGCCACATATCCACCCATACTTTTTGATACATATATCTCTGTTTTGTCCTAGGAAGCCAACTACATTTTCTTCATTTATTATCATGTGTTATATTTTTGGGATCTATAAAAAGGCCTACGTATATCTGGAAAGCCAGATATAGAAAAGATTAGTTGCTTCCAATCTCCACACTTGATATGGAGATCACCTTTAACATTCTCCTGTAGATCTTGACACCAAAAGAAAACAGGGAAATCAAAGGGGGCTTTTGGTAAAAACAACAAGGGGGTCTCTTTAATCCCTGTGGCAGCATTAAGAACTGTTGTTTAACAGTAGGAAGCCATTACCTCACAATCCCCTATAGTTTCTCTTGCCAAACTGAGTCAAGCATTTCCATTAAAAGACCTCTGAAGTTAACTTTAAAGAGTTACTCTGTCATCTCAGGGCCTCTGCCTTACTACATAAAAACAAGCCTGGTTAGCCACAATGACAAAAAGCACAATGACCACTGACAATGCAGAATAAATAGCATGTCATTCAAAGTACTGTATAACTGTGGCTGCTCACTTATCCAGAAGTACAACATTTCAGTTTATATCTACAAGTATGTAGGTTTTACTATGGGGTGCCCATGTTTACCAATTTTATTGCAATGGTCCATTTATTCAAGTTATTAATGTCACTGAATTATGTTTGCTAAATGTACTGAAATGAAGCTATCAAAATACAGAAAGTGAAAAATAACAATTCATGCAGTCAAATCATATGAAGTCATGTTTGGCAAACAACACCCCCTGTTTGTTTCTGCTCCTTGCTCCAGAGGCCAGACCAGGACTGCAACATATCACTGAGAGAACCTGAGTGAGGGCGCAGCCACTGCTCTCTGCTCACTTTAGAAACATAATACTGGAAATTTCTCAAAGCTCAGCAAAGCCATCAGTCACACAGATCACTAGGTTTTTCATTAAGCTCAATTCGACTTCTTCGGCAGAAGTGGGGCATTTGTTAAAAGGACTGGATATACAGGGCTCTGTAAAGTGAAACACACCGAACAGCAAGCATCACCACAATCACTGTCAACTGGGTACATACGTGTGCTTGTGACACTTCAAACACACAGTGTGTCACAAAACCAGCCATTGACTCGAAGGCAAAGACAACATCAAGCTGTTACATGATGAATGCCACTGGGTTGACTGTTTTGTTTTACTTTTTTCTCCATTCATGAAACCTTTTTGAAGCTTGAAGATTTCAGCTTTGTGTTCCCCAGTCGACCAAAAAGGGTGCCTCTCAGTTTGGCACAGTGTTTCTAAAAAACCCTCTAACCTTAATCTGCAGAGTGACTGAGACTCCAGCACACCATCGTTTTATTCCCATCATATTCAGCTTCCTTTACAGTTGGACAAGAGAAGATAAACAGAAGAATGGGGGCCAAAACCAGCACCCAGTTTATTCAAATATGGTATTTGTTTTGATCTTTGACCATATTTGTAACTCTGGGCTTAGACATCTTTGAGTCACATCATCTACAGACCTATGGCAGCTCTCTGAGAAAAACACATTTATCACCCTTTCTACTGGACTGTCTCCCACAC